CCTCAACGAGCGGATCGCCGAGAAGCTCGAAGAGTTCGAGACCGATGACGTCGACGTGGAGCAGCGCCTCGAACGCGAACTGAAGCGCGACTACCACATCATCACCGCGCCCGAGCGCCTCGACACCGTCGCCAGGGACTTCGTCACGCACTACACCACGGCGTGGGAGAGCGGCAAGGCGATGTTCATCGCCATCGACAAGATCACCGCCGTCAGAGATGCACGGCCTGATCCAGAAACACTGGCGCGATCACGTCAGGCGACTCGAAGGCGAGCTTTCCAGCGCGGCCGGCGGCGAAGAGCGCCTGGCTCTGGAAGGCCAGCTCGCCTGGATGAAGGAAACGAAGATCGGCGTCGTGGTGAGCGAAGAGCAGGGCGAGGTTGCCAAGTTCCGCAACTGGGGTCTCGACATTCAGCCGCACCGCCGGCTGGCCAAGGAGGGTTTCGAGACCGCCGACGGAGAGCGGATGGACGTGGAGAGCGCCTTCAAGAAGAACGGCCACCCGTTCCGGGTCGCCATCGTCTGCGCGATGTGGCTCACCGGGTTCGACGTCAAGAGCCTTGCCACCCTCTATCTCGACAAGCCGCTCAAGGCGCACACCCTGATGCAGGCCATCGCGCGGGCGAACCGGGTGCACGAAGGCAAGAACAACGGCCTCATTGTCGACTACAGCGGTATCCTCAAGAACCTCCGAAGCGCCCTCGCCACCTTCGCCGGCCACACGGGAACGGAAGACGGAGGCGCGTCGGATCCTCCCGCGAAGCCCCAGGAGGAGTTGCTCGACGAACTGGCCGAGTCCATCGAAGCGGTACGCGCGTTTCTCGCCGCAAAGGCGTTCCGGCTCGAGGAGATCATCGAGAAGGGCGGCTTCGAGCGGAACGCGGCCATCTCCGCCGCCAAGGAGGCGGTCAACGAGAACGACGAGACAAGGAAACGCTTCGAGATCATGGCCCGCACCGTGTTCCGCGAGTTCAGAGCCTGCCTGACGGTGAAGGAGGTCCACGTTCACCGAAGCGCCTATGACGCGATCAACATCGTCTACAAGAGCCTTCAGGCGGACCGTGACAAGACTGACATCTCCCAGATCATCCGGGAGCTGCACGCCGTCGTCGGCGAAAGCATCAGCCCCGCCGGCGTGGGGCAGATCCGGGAATCACCGGCGTCCTATGACATCTCGGCCATCGACTTCGAGCGCCTGCGCCAGGAGTTCGCCCGCAGCACGACGCAGAACACGCACGTGCAGAATCTCAAGGGCGCCATCGAGAAACGCCTTGCCCGATGCTCGCACAGAACCCATTGCGCACCGACTTCCAGCAGCACTACGAGAAACTGGTCGCCGACTACAATCGGGAAAAGGACCGCGTGACGATTGAGAAATCGTTCGAGGCGCTCCTCAAGCTCGTCGCCGAGCTCGACGATGAGCAGGCGCGCGCCCTCCGCGAGGGCCTCGACGAGCCGACGCTGGCCTATTCGATCTGCTCAAGAAGGAAGAGCTGACACCGGCAGACATCAAGCGGATCAAGCAGGTCGCAGTAGACCTCTACGCAAGACTGCGAGAGGAACTGGCCCGCGTCCGCGATTGGGAACAGAAGCAGGCGACGCGCGACTGGTGAAACAGACCATCTTCGACTTTCTCTACAGCGACGAAACGGGGTTGCCCGAGTCGTATGACGAAGTGGGGGGGCGTAAGGGCTGGGGGGGGGGGGGGGGGGGAGGGGGGGTGGGGTTGTTTAGTAGTGGGGAACTAATAAAGATGAGAGCGACGGGGAGGGGATTTAAGAGATAAGATAAACTACAAGGGTGTAAAATACGCATAATAACTAGGTGGCTGGTGATGATTGAGGAATGATGATGTAGGGGGGGCGATAGCATATAATGGGGCAAGATGGATGAAACAAGAAGGCGACGGAGAGAGGGGGTTAGGAAAGGATCAGAACGGTAAGTATGACGGATAACCAATTCCGTCCTATGGCTCGCAGCCGTCTGTATTCACATGTACCCGCTCTCTATACCCTCACCACCCTTGACGATCTTTCCCGAAAAGTAAAACCGTGACCGCGGCACGATTCCGGCCATACACCCCGATCGTTCTGGCAACTCACCACGATGCCGTCCGCCAGTACTCACACCCCAACATGAATAAACCGCGTTTCGTACTTTCGTACTTGCCGTTGAAACATGCAGAAACAAGTCGATTTCGTTGTTATCGAGGGTCTTGAGCCTTTCATGACGTAATCCTTTACGCGAAACTCGTCTGTGGCTTGATCCAAATATTCGAGGCAAACGAGTCAGAGAGACTCATGCCTTCTGCCGTTGCACCTCGAATTTGTATATGAACATCGGTGGAAACTTGTTGACACCACGCGGCGATGACCCCGCCTCCGGTATTTCCTGTCCTCCTCTGCGCAAACAAGCCTCAATCCAAGCAACTGCAGGGCATCCTTTCCATTTCAATGGCTTCTTCAGCGTCTCGCCTCGTACATACAACCCGGAAGGCTCCGGAACTCTATTAATACCGCCACCCTCTTCTGGGAGTAAACTACGCGTGTCATGAACTGGATACATCAGTTTTTCCATGGATTTTCGTCTGCTGTTGGTTTTCCTTTTGAAGGTAAGAAAACAGTTGAGGTCAGTTACAACAAAAGAAAGAGATTTATTGATTTCCGCCGTTCAGGTGCCTTCCGCGAAAATGGCGAAAAGAGCAATAAAAGGTAAACTAAACATACAGAATAAAGGCACCCGCAAGGAACCATAAATACATTTACATAAACGAAGGGTAAAGCCATCAAAGGTGAGAATAGTTTTAGTAATATGCGTGACAAGACATAAACCCGCAGTCATAATAAAACAAGCAAATCCAAGCGAATGAATAGTAGTCGCTTCAATTCTCAAGACACATTAATTTCCCTTGGTTAAATAACGGCACGGCGGATCTCTCCGCCTTTTACGAGAATTGTCGTAAGGCAGGTCGGTGACGGCGGCGCGGTTCTGCCACACATCGCCGATGGTGAGGCTGAGCAGTTCGCTGATGCGTCCGCCAGTGGAGACACCGAGCATGAAAAGCCGCGATTGCGGACTTCAACTTCCCGGTAAAGCAAGCCGAAACAAGTCGTATTCGTTGTTGTCCTAACGGTCTTGTGCCTTTCATAATATGTCACGACTTAAAAAATATTAAAACGTATGAGCACATAGAGACTTTGAAAATCTCTTAGATTAATTATTTGATGAAGTTTCATGTTTGACCCTCTTAAGTTCTTGGAATAGCATTTTTTTGCTATCTGACAATTTCAGTGGGTGTCTGATTCCGCACAAAACAAAATAAGACAGGCTGGTATACATCATAACCTGGTTTTTTATATTCTATATCTAACCCATAAAATTGAGATAAAGGGTCTATCCGATAGGCTCTTACACTGGTCACATCATTGTAAATCCTACTTTCAGAGTCTACCGTTATTGAAAGTGTAATGCCATCACCAGCTGACTCCCAACTATCCATGATGTCTATGTATCCGGCGCAGGACTCTGTTGAGTCTCATTTACTTTGTGGTTTGAAAAATCCTCTTGTAATATCCCAATATCCCTCTTTTACCACTGGCAATGAGGAAGGAACTAACCGACTTGTTGAATTTAGAGCGTAAAAAATTGGGATTTTTCAGTAAAATCCTCTGATGCCAGCAATTGCAAAACAAATTAATCCAGAAAAAACTGAATTTACATCAATTAATTTTGACCATCAAAACTTGAACCTATTTTACATGTCTCTCACAACAGCATCCCGCGCGAAAAGTATGATACAATAACTATTGAGAAAATCCTTTCGAGAATGCCCCTAAAACGCATTCCAGAGGGCTACCACGCAGACACCTCTACGGAATTGACGTTCTAACTGCGTTTAGTCGTGAATTGTGATTGAGTGATGTTTTTTCTCTGCCCTCGATCGCCCTTGACTTTCTATTGCAGTGTACGCAGAGCAAAGTTTGAAGATTCGCCAATATGGTCATCATTTCCGCCACCGGATATTTCGCGATAATGTGATCAATTTCAAGGTGTTGCTTTTGGAAATGCTCCCCGCATCCGATTACAATCCCCAGCTTGCTCCCCATATACTGCGTTTTGTTTTCAGGGGCGTTGTATCGGGGAATATTCCCTAAATCCGTGCGGTTGGGTATGTCGTCGCGTGCAATAATGTCTTCAAAACATCCCTGATCGCCTTTGATACGTTCAACAACCAATTCAGCGGCTTTCGCTGATATGTCAATACCGATCCATTCACGTTGGAGCCTATCCGCCGCGACAAGGGTTGTGGCGCACCCGCAAAATGGATCGAAAACACACATTGCCTTCGTTAGATGATGCTTTGATGATACGGTCAAGCAACGCAAGCGGTTTTTGAGTTGGGTAGCAAGCCTCTCTTTTTCATTGCGATTTAATTGCTGAATACCAATCCACCAATCAGGACAAAGAACACCAACATCGGTTGAGATAACGATAGACTTTCCTGATTTGCATCCTTCTTAACTTGCCATGTGCGACCTCTAAATCCGTTTCAACTTTCATGTGTGTTTTCCGACGCCCTATCCTAACTGCATCGGAATCAAAAACATAATTTTTAGTCTTTGAATAAAAGAAAATCACGTCATGTTTACGACCAAATTGACTTTTTCTTCGTGACCCTCTTTCATAACACCATATAATTTCATTTTGAAAGTGCGTTTACCAAAAATTGTATCCATAACCAACTTCCAATAGTGCTCATTGTCGGATCGCAATGTTAGGTATATGCTTCCGCTGTTTTTCAGAATGCGATGCATCTCAAGCAACCGAACCGCCATGTAAATGAGATAGGATTTATCGGAGTTGGACATCGCAGCATGGATGACTCGGTTCAGGACAGGGTGTTTCGCTTCAATTAGGTCAAGCCACGCAGCGTCCACATCGTGGAGTGTCCACGTATCTTTGAATTCAGCACCAGCAGCCTCAGAACCGATCGGAGCGGCGTAATTCGCTTTGCTATTGAACGGCGGATCCAAGTAAATCAAGTCAACCGATTCGCTATTCATGCCTCGCATGATAGGGAGATTGTCCCCAGTAAATATCGTCTTGGGATTCACATTAGCATTCACGCATACACCTTCCACAAATTCTGTCATCTATTGTTTATCTTGGATTTTCCAGTCCAGCCTTTATCTCCTATGATGGGACGGAGTCTGTGTCACGGGTTTACAATCTGCTGTTGCTTCAGCGTTTCGATTTCTTCTCGAAGTTCCTGATTGATTTTTTCTTGTGAGTTGTCTTTAACGCTCCGCCAGCCTATCATGATTGTCAAAACCACTAAAGGAATACCTATGAGTGCGATCACAGCCACAAGAATACCTATAAGCCATGCGACAGGTGTTTTCAAACTGTTTACCTGCTGCGTGATATGTTCCTTCATACGATTTTCCGACGCTTCGATCTTTGTATCAAATCGTTTTTCGGACGCAGCAATCTCATCTTTGACAATCAAGCGTATCTGGTTGAGGTCCGCATCAGTCAACTCACCAAGAGCCGGTAAAGCGAGCGCAGAAAAGAGTATCGAGAGGGCGAGAATGGTTTTCATGAGGTGTTCCAGTTCCAGTCTGATTTCTCCCCCTGCTACGGTGGGAGGGTGGCAGAAACAGCGTGTGCTGTTCGTAGCAGTGCCACCCAAACTGGTTCAAATAGTATAGCAGATTGGCGAAAATGAGGCAAGTCGCTTTTTGATTCGACAGAAATTTACCGTGAACGCCACAGTTTGAAAATATACGTCCAATTAACAATACCCGCAATTACCGCCAGAACCGTAGCAACCCAAAGCATAATTTGCATCCGATCGAGGTTCCGATTGATGCTATCAAAGCGTGTGTTTATCTCATCAACGGTCGCTTCTATCTCACCGAGACTTGCATCCATCTCATCAAGGGCTACATGGGTATCCCTGAATGCTTCCTGCAATTCCTCTCGAAGTATCTGACGGATATTCTCCAAATCCGTCTCTGTTAGTTCGGCACGGACTGGAAGCCAAGCGATCGTAGAAAAGAGTATTGAGAGGATGAGAATGAGTTTCACCGGGTGTCTCCTTATGGAGAGAGTAAATCATATTTGGGCGTGGGTGTCAACGAGTAAAAATGGGATGCCCGATTTCAGAGGCTTGAAAACACGAGTACAAATTTCCATAGCGCACACCAAAATTTCCATAGCGCACACCTGAATTTCCATAGCGCACACCCCTTATTTCCGATAAGTATCTGAACCCTTGATTTTACTGGGTTCGCAGAAATGACGTTTTTCGCTATATAAGTACTCTTTATATAAGAAATAATTTATATACAAAGATCGCGTCCCATATATATTTATAATTCTAAAGAAGATTTAACAGCGCGATGCACCTCAACAGCACGCTCAAAATCACGGAGGATCGCTTGAGACATTTCTTGGTATTTATGATACTCACTGACTTGTTTCCAGCCGCGCCGCCGCGTTGCCGTCTCTCGATGGCGAGGTAGTCGTCCAACAGGCATCGGTATTGCTTGTTGTCTGAAAACCAGTAATCGCCATCGGTATCAATGGCTTTGCCTTTGACCCATTCGGGTCGGATCGGCTTCCTCGAGGCATCAGGCTTCGGGAAAGGCATGGGATACAACTGAAAGATTGCCGCTTGCGATTTGGGTGTCAGCCGTTCGAGCATGCCGGCTTGTGTTAACTCGGTGATAAGGTTCTGGTAGGTGGGTAGCGAGATTCGGATACGCTTGGAGAGTTCGAGAAGTGTTGCACTTTCCGTTTGCCCTGCGGTGTCCTCCCATGCTTTCCAGTTGGATTTCAACTTCAGCGAAATCCACGCCAACGCCGCTTTCCACGAGATGTCGCCCTCAAAACAGCGTTCAATGGGTCCACCGGGACCGCGCGGCACAGCAAACGTCAAGGGTTTGCCGTCTCCATCAACAGGCACATCTTCATCATCACAGAGATAATGTCGGAGCCGATACCGTTTTCCCGATGGATTCTCATCGTCAATCGTCTCGATCCAGTTTTTATCGGAGAGTTTCGCGACTTGATTCCTCACGTGCCGATGCGACATACCGGGACTGAGTTGTTCCGATAAATACCTTGCTGACAGGGGCCACGTTGCACCTGAAGCCCATGTGCTTCCGTGATTCATGCAAAGATAAATCATTGCTTGGGCTGCTGTCAGATTCCCGTCTCGGAGTTCCCAAAGGACACTGGAATGACCGCGTGGCACTGGCATCGTGTCAGCCTCAAACTCGTAAGGGATCGGGTAACGCCCGCTAAGAGGGAGATATATCTGTTGGCTCATACAAAAACCTTCCTTGATAGAAAAAGGCTCTGCATGGCGGGTTTCCAGAGAATGCCGGTATATTCGATATGCATTTCAAAACCTGTGTGGAGATGCAATGCGATGCAGATGCAAAGAGAGTGCAAAGCAGACACTGCATCCTAAAATAAACAGTCTAAGAAAAGTGGTATTGCGTTGGTGTTTCGCTTCGCCAGTGGCGACGAAACTACGTTCAAATCTATGCGACCCTCTGCGAAAAGGGGGTTTGGAGAAGCATCCCCCAAGAAGGGGATTCGCAGATGCCTCTCCGCACCAACGCTTAGATTTGATGGGTGTATAAACACCCTGAACGGTTGTTTCCAACCATTCTGATAGTATTCTACCAACTTTTACAGGAAAAGTCAAGTAAAGATACTATTTTAATTCTACTGTAACATGTTAAACAAGACAAAATGTTATTCTGTCTTTGACTATTGACCGGTCATACAGGAGATCGGTGACGGCTCTGCGGTTCTGGTAGACATCCCCGATCGTTAGACTGAGCAATTCAGAGATGCGTCTGCCAGTACTCACACCGAGCATGAACAGCCCGCATTGCGCGTTTCAAACGCGCCAGTGAAACATGCCGAGACTCTGCGGATTTCGGTGTTATCGAGGGGTCTTGTGCCTTTCATTAGAAGGAATCCTTTTTAGCGTTTCCGAGCAAAGCAAGTATAAGAAAGATGATCATAACCGTTGGAATCAAAATCTGAAAAGGACGCGACCAATCGCTGAAAAGTTGACCCCAATGTTTCCAGATTTTCCACATGGGAGATACCAAAACGATGTCAGGCTCGTGCCCCTTGAACAGATCATATTCAGTTATTTTATCCTTCTTTTCGGACGTTTTACCTTTTTTCCGTTCGATCCTAATTGTAAGATACACGTCTTTTCGTGGACAAAAATGAGCGTCAGGTTTTTCTCTGAGATGATGTAAAATACACTCAGCTTTTTTGAGATAAAAATCTCTTCGATTTGTATCATTCACCAGTGCTCTTGACAATCTAATTTGCCAAAGCAAATAAACAACGTGTATAGCAAGGAGTCCCACAGTTACCCAGCCAGATGCGTTCAAATCGTTTATTTTTTCAAATTGATAAAAAGCTAAAACAAGCAACGTGTTATAGGCAATAAAAACTCTAAACTCGACTTGTCTTCTTTCATCATGTCGATTTGCTCCAAACTCGGCAAGTCGCCCATTCTTTCAAAGTCGTCTTTGTTTGGATTATTCATACTTGTCTCCGTGCCGCTTCCACAGCGCGCGAAAACGGTTAAGCGGCCGATGGTGTTCCGTGTGGATAGGTGGCAGGCTCTGGATATACCTCGTAAGGCACCGTGGATGAGACCCTGTTCACTATTCTAAAAGACGTAAGACCTCTTTGATCCTGTTTTTCAGCTTCACATCACCTGCCTGTGTTGCGAGTCTCAATGCGGTGCGCAAATCCTGTTTCGCAGCCCAGGTTTGTCCAAGTTCTGCCTTTGATGCCCCACGAAGTAAGTAGGCTGGTGCGTCACCGGAGTTGAGTTGTATGGCGGTATCATAGTCAGCGATAGCTTCAACGTATCGACTCAGCGATGCCTTTGCGCTCCCACGAAAGCGGTAGGCAGCTGCGAAATCAGGGTTGAGTCGTATGACAGTATCAAAGTCAGCAATAGCCTCAGAGTATCGACCAATGTCTGCCTTTGATGCCCCACGAAGGGAGTAGCTTATTGGGTCATCAGGTTTGAGTTTTATAGCAATGTCATAGTCAGCGATAGCCTCAACGTATTCACCAAGCGATGCCTTTGCTGCGCCGCGATTGTAGTAGCTCATTGGGTCATCGGGTTCGAGTTTTATAGCAATGTCAAAATCAGCGATAGCCTCAACGTGTTGTCCAAGTGATGCCTTTGTGTATCCACGATTGTGGTAGGCTTCCACGAAATCAGGTTTGAGTCGAATAGCCTTACTATAATCCGAAATAGCATTCTGATAAAATCCAATATCATGTTTTGTATTCCCACGATTGTAGTAGGTTTCCGCGGATATATCGTGCTCCCTTTGTGCTAAAGGTGTTCCAGTTCCTTTTGTGTTAAGTAATGCCTTAACATATTTAGAAGGTATGGCAAAATTAAGATTTTGCCCACCTTCTATTGTCATGAAAAGCGACCCCGATGACTTTGCCTTCGCTGTTCAGCACGGGACCACCAGAACTACCCGGCGAGATCGGTGCGGTCATCTGAAGATATTCTTTATCCTCCCCTCTGCTGATACGGCTGATAATACCATCAGAAAACGTGCCTTCAAGTCCTTTCGGGCTGCCAGCGACATAGACCTGATCACCGATCCGAACTTTGTCATTGTCACCGAGCCGTAGCGGTTTGACCCCTGGAATTGTTACCTGTAGAAGGGCGAGGTCGTTATCCACATCAATAGCGACAATCCCTTGAATCAGATATCTTCTCGTTTTACCTACTATCTTGGCGGTGCCATGAGCAGCCCCTGCTATCACGTGATAGTTTGTCACAATGTGTTCCTGTGAAACGAAGAAACCGCTCCCGTAAGAAATCGGCAGTACTTGTGCGTCGGTCATCTCCAAGTAGACAGTTGCGGCAAGCGCATCTTCAGCAAATTGGGGAACATCCGGTGCCGGGGCACAGCTGCCCAAAAAATAGGTGAGAAGTATCACAAAAATCCTTATTTTCACATCAGATCTCCTATCGGCGGGAACTCACCCCGTAGCATTATTTCTCCTATGTAACTATTTCTCCTATGTAACAAAGACCGCGCCATCTTGGTATCAGAGACAACCCACCTTGCCATACACACTTACTCTTCATAATTTC